TAAATTATTATTTTTTATAATATATAAAAAAAAGCACAATAGTTAAGTGGCAGCACTTAGCCACTCTTGTCAGACCTGATTAGTACTTGGGTAGGAGACCACTAGGAAATGCAGGGACCGGGAATTCCTGGAAGACAACAGCAGCAAACTCTTTCCATGGAGTTGCAAGGAAAACGACATGGCTGCATCCATGAAACTGACGGAACTGAGTTCATTCCAAAGGAAACTTTATTTTTTACTTATACGATAATAAGTTACGCAGTCAATTTTACCAAACCTTCAGCCTTTGCTAAGCGTAAGTGGGTAAGAGGTTGATTGAGTATTGTTATCGTTTCCCATAACGTCTTTATGTATTCTAATCTGCTCCGAGTCTTTTGGGCAGGTTCTAAAGCTTCTAAAACAAACCCAAAGAGAAATCCGAAGCGGCCTCATTAATCACTAACCTCGATGATTGAGGGTCCAGATTTCAATGGGATAACCTCAGACCGAGAGCAAGCTTCAGATCAAAGAAAACCCGAAGTGTCCGCAGGGTGTGGTCAAAAAAGTCAAGGTGGTGGCTGTGAGGGCATGACCGAAGCACCACCCGGTTGGACATCAAAACCAGGCAGAGCTTCGACAGCATCGTCGGGGCCGCCATCTTGACTTTTTTGACCACGCTCTGCAGACACCGGAGGGAAAGCTGACCCCCGGGGGTTTGCAACACCCAGCCCCCGAAGCAAAGCCAGCCTAGGTGACTTTCCAAGCTTTTGCTCACTTGCTTTTCCAGCTCTGGGTGTGGCTGTTGGGAGAGGATCAAGAATCCACTTTCTCGCTGCTTCGGTGGCCAGAGGGGGGTTGTTTTCCAGCACTCCTCGCCCTCTTCCCTGCAGCAGGAGGCACCCGCTCCACTTCCCTCCGAGGCTCCAGATCGCGCTCCGGAATTCGTGGAGCTTGGGGTGCGCGCCCCCCCGCCCGCCTCCCCCACGGCCTGCCAGCCGTTGTCCTGGCACTAAGACAATTGGTTC